GCTGGAGCTCACACCGGTGATTGCATTCGCACTTCCAAAATTTAGATCGTCAACATATTCTGGGAATAGATCAATGAAGGTAGCCTTCAAATTATAGCAAAATTTTCGCTGTAAATGGTTACGGTATCAAAGCCTTATCAACAGTCAAACACTGCTCAGTACTTTTGCTTTATTAGATTCTTCCTTCACCGAAGAGAACTGTTGGCTCTCTAAAACTTTTTAGAATATATATAGGACTTGGAGGGTATCCCAGATCAAGCCTGTGCACTTAATAAGCTACTGTTTTGAAAAATCTGTTTGAAAGTATGATGCAAATTGCTTATAAATCAGTGCAGAAAGTGCATTGAGTTTTCTACTAAATCCGTCTAGTCTTCACATCAATCACAGGATAGCAGTTAACATATTCCTCTCTTGCATTAGGACGTCGTCTTGTATCTTACTCTCTGTAACGGCTCACAGGTCGAGGACGTGAGGGGCGTTCGCGGGAGTGCGCAAGAACTATGAACCGTTTGCGATGTACCTCAAACTTGGGTAATTAAACCTTTATTAGTATACACATGTTATTTACACAAAAATGCAAGGCAATATACAATTTCTGTCCAACAACTGTGAATAAGGTGGTTCAGTGGGTTTGTTACCTAATAAAACACATTAACAATAGTACACACGCCAATGTAACGGCTCACAAGTCGAGGACGTGAGGGGCGTTCGCGGGAGTGCGCAAGAACTATGAACCGTTTGTGATGTACCTGTGAACAATGAATGTGCTTAACTTATGTTAACACGGATAACATAATTACACGAAAGACGACGATAACACTAATGTGTCAGAGATTCACGGGCTAAGGGCTACATATACTATCATTATAACCTAAGCAAATGAATCTACAAAGTGAAATTAACGGAGTGGAATTAACGATGGGCTGGCAAGGACGGTCTCGACGGCGTCGTTGGGTCGAATGGCGGGACTACTGGGTGTGTCCCATGGCCGGAACGGGATATGGACGCAGAGGATGCGCGCGGCGTTGCAGCTACGCGATCCCCCTCGATGCTTGGACTGTATTAGCTATGCCAGAACGGGATATGGACGCAGAGGATGCGCGCGGCGTTGCAGCCACACGATCCCCCTCGATCCGTAGACTGTATTAGTTATACGGATAGAGAATTCTCTATCTGATTGAGGAATTCTCTATACTCTGCCAGTTAGCAACAGTGTCTGTGCAGGTGCAGGTATGGTTTTATTTCTTACTTAGCCACCGATTCTTTACCTTGGATTGTGCCGTATAGTTTCTCATGTTACCGGGTTAATATCTTTCAGTGAGAGAGATTAACTATTGCTTGAACCTACACAACTACAGCTACCTATTTCAATGTTAAGACGAGTGTAATCTACCTGTCACAGTCATACAGTTTCAGTCTGTAGTAAAACTGAAGAACGCAAATCTCGTACACATTTGACCCGTCCCAAAGCGTGGGCCTAGTTTACTGTCGAAGAATGTCCGACTAGGCAAAAAATTTTTGTAGATAGTGAAGTATAAAGGATAAAGATTTCGGCGTTAATCAATTTCTAAGAAATTAGTCATGTACCCGATTTTGCTTAGCATCGTTATTGGTGATTGGATGAATATCTGACCCATACAATGGTGCACGCTGGCCTATCGATGTGCACCAAATCCGCGCTGCTATTTTCCCAGACAAGCTCGGTACCAATTTTCTAGCGTGAAAAGATGAAAAATTTGATGGGCTGAGACGCTGGGTCGAACCAAAGACCACGTGTTAATTTCAGGGCCATCTCTAACCAATGTGCTATCTCTAACCTAAAAAATATTGGCAAAACGCTCTTTTTCGGTTTATCGTTTTGAGTGTGTTGTACTGCTGTATTGCCTTCATCAAGAGAAGGTTCCACGAGGAGTCGTCCATCACTGGAAAACTTTTGGGTTTTCTGACAACAGGTACCTCACTATTGGGCGCTTGAATTAAATCTGTTCAAAATTATTTCCCATTTCAATGTTAGCTTTCTATTTATTGCTCACTATGATTTTTCACGGAAAGATGTAATGCGAAATCACTACGATGCTGAGATTTTTGCAAAACTTGCACCAAAATCCAGATTCGAACCAGTGGTTGCACTTTCCGGGATCACATGATACCTACTGCACCACTGAGGCCTTTGCTTAGCTTTTCTCTCAGCCACTTTTCTTTCTAACGGTAACATCAACAATTTGTCCTGAAGTCCAAGTTTCGCAAATATCTCAGCGTCATAAACGTTGTATTTCACATCACATTCTGCCGTGAAAAATAATCGCTGACAGTAAATAAAAAGTTTACACTGTGATTTCGACTCCAGCCACAGCTTAACTGAGTTCGGATACGATTTGTCCGTCCCACGCCATTTCCGCTGATGGCTGACTGCTGATAGCACTGTTAAAGAAAACTGGCCGAGAGAAAGTAGTGCAATGGCCTCAGTGGTGCAGTAGTTGCTTGTAAATGAGCGTTGGAAACGGTAACCGCGACTTTGAATCTGGCATGGCGGCCAACTTTCGCAGATATCTCAGCATCATAGTGATTTCCAATTTTAGCATAAGTAGTGTTAAAGCTGGAATTTATCAGAAAAAAATATTGATGCTGCAGGTATGTCTTCGAACTTCTGTTGAGCAACTCTTCTGTCCAAAAGCAAGGTTTTAACATTTATGAAGAAAGACTAGAAAGCTTTTCAAAAAGAAAAATTCGCGTGACTAGACACTTTCGTTAAACACGTCGAACCATTGGAGGAAAAATTATTTTGATATTAATAGCGCGGTCGTTCCCTACCGCAGACACATCATTGTGGCTGTATCACGTGCATTACACTGCCATGAAAAATCTTGTGATTTCGACTACTTCTTCAGCTTAACTGGGTTCACCAGATAAATACCGTTAACGGGTCACTGTTGATGGTACTGATCAATAGAAAACTACCTGAGGGACGGGCGAAACGAAGGACCCGCACGGTGTGGAGGTGAACGCGTTAGCCCCCGGGAAAGGTAGTTGCGCGTTCGCTCCCCACCGCAGACACCTGCTGTCCGGAGTCTTGCAATTATCTCAACATCATTGTGATTATTGTGACAGTTTATAGTAATGTTACTATATGTATCATCACAAGTTTGCCATCAGGAGCGTGGGGATTGGTCTTTGAACGGCGTAAGAAACTGCTTAACTGAAAATTACGCCAGAAAAGAACTGTTAGCCATCAAGTTAATTCACAATGCGCGTAACAGGTAAACGAAAAAATAAATGATTTTCGCAGATATTACATTATCAGCAGCAATGAATATTACGCAGAATTTTTCTCTACCGTAAAAGGTATAGAAGTAACTGTCATTGTGGACTTCCGATTTTAAGAAAATTTCATCTTTCTAACATTAATATATCGATATTCAGCTGTAAGTGTTATAAGCCTACCAAGCTACGAGTAATTCAAGTAAGTGTTATAAGCCTACCAAGCTACGAGTAATTCAAGCCAGGACCAGAAAATCCCCAGAACTGATGAAATTTGCTTGTGTAACGAAGTAACAACAAAGGCATCATGCTTGTGGTAAGACGACTTTTCTTACTATTCACGGCAACAGAGCTTTGCGAATAGGTGGCCAGGTTTTCGGTAGGCATAATATTACTCTTAAGCGGATTTCCTAAACGTATGCAGTTTGTGAAATTGCCACTAGGTGAAAATATATGCCAAAAAATGGCACCACCTCACGCGTAAACGGCAATCCCTTGTGAATTTGTAGCGCTGCCACTGTTCCACATGTGTAATTGTTTCCAGCACTCCTATCTTTATATCAAAGTCTGTTCTGTCACTTTCACATTGATTCACACCCAAAGGTTATTTGAATGGCAATTTTATTTAGCATGATTGGTCATCAAATCTACCGCTCAGATCGCAACACTTTTTCAGTTCGATTGCTTTTCTCGTACCCATTATATATGAAGGTCTTCGAACATTTGTGTGCGAATTCATCTGCTGCTTGAGGATTTTTGTCCTCATTCTCAACGTGGTTGAATACTGGTCGAGTAGATTCTCCCACGAGTACAGGAGTGTTATGAGATCCTTTCCCGAAGTCAGAGAAATGGGATGTTGCCGAACCCGCTGCGGGATCGAACAAGGGCCTACGACATGATGACTGCTTCAACCACTGTAGGAGATAAATGCATTAATGGTTTTTTTAGATGCCCACTAATTTGTCTCTAGGTTTCTAGAAAGATCTCTATATGGGAATTTGTTGAAATTAAAGGCAGCAGATCAACAAAACGGTGTTGGAGTGAGGGTATTGACAACTTGTCCTGGTATAGCCATCTGTGGCCAGCATTGTCAACCAGGACAATACACAACTTAATGTAGCATGAAAACAGAAGGCTGCACTGCAGTTCTTACATAGGCGGGCCAGTCATATTTCAAAGAAAAATTGACAAACACTGCACAAGAAAAATCATAATCGCAAGGAGTTTAGGCTCCAGGAAAACGTTTTTCACGCTTGGGATATGGAATGATTTCTATAGAAGTGTAACACACGAAATATATCACGTTTCTAGACGAGGTTCTTGAAGGAATGAAAAGAATAGGGGCTGTGTTAGGTCCTCCACGACTCGTGACAATTCATTACCCAATTATCCATGCTAGTAAGACTATTAGTTCGATTCAGATTCATGAACTTCCTTACTGTGGATAGGTGAAGTTTTAAAGACCTAAACAAGGTAAAAGTAATGTTTACTATTATTATTTACTAAATATCGCTAGCAGTAAATAACTGCTATTTCAAAGTAGACTAAGTAACAATGTAAAACAGTATCCAGCAATATCAAAGAGAAGAGATTGTTTAGTTTTAAGCTTGAATCTCATCCTGCTTTATGGATGAGAAGAACTAGTTTGGAAGCACCATAAGGCAATCAGCTAAACAATGGCAGCAAAATAACTGTTTGAAACTGTTCGATATTTCAAACAAAAGTTTTCGAAGGAAGAGATTCTATGAAAACACTTTCATTGAATCTCCGACATGAGTTCTGCACGTGGGGCACTCGGATATGGTTGATTCAGCATGGCATGAATCGCAGACCACCATGTGACGGCACGGCAGAAACAGTACGGATGGCTGAAGCAAAAAACGAGTACGAAAAAATCAACGGGTCCAATAGAGGAATTTTGAAAACCACTTTCGTGATTGAGGAAAGAATGAAACCAAATTCGACTTCGAAAACAACGGTGTATTTTATAACAATTCCGTTGCTATATGAGCTAAATTAAAAGAATTAAAAATTTGATTATTTTGTAAAGGAAGTACCCCGTTGCATGCTGCTCCATAAAAAAGGGTGGTACAAACCTTCGTAGCGAGGCAGATGCAACATTCCGCGCAGATTTTCTCCCTCAGGCGCGACATTTCTCTCCTTAGCTGTTCACTCTCTTCAATGGCACATTCTTTTTCCACCTCTAGACGTCGACGATGTTCCTCTAATCGAGGAAGTGATGCCAACTGAAAGCGATTAAAATTCTGAGAACATTTGAGACTACGTTGTAGAAGCACTGGTGCACATGAACAACACCACTCATCGTTATGCGGGATTTCGGTGAATGGTTATAGCACAAATAATGCCAATGAAATGTCGAGGTCCACCAGTTGTAAACTATACAAGATAATGTTTTAACGTTTTGTTTTCTGCCTTCTATAATTTTCATGGCAGGTTACTAAGCGAAATACAACCACAATGTTGCTGAGATATTTGCAAAACTCTGGACCGCAGGTGTCTATGGTGGTGATTGCTGTGGCAAAAAGATCGATAGAAATAGCTGAGAGACGTGCGAAACAAAGGACCCGCATGGTGTGGTGGTGAACGCGTTACTCCCCGGAAAGGATAATAGCGCGTTCGTTCCCCACCATAGACACCTGCGGTCCAGAGTTTTGCAAATATCTCAGCAACATTGTGGTTATACAAGATAAAACAAAAAAAACAAGCCTTTAAAAAAACAAAAACAAAAAGATAGAATATAAGTTAAGAGCAACCTATGCAGATAGACTGCAGATGTAACGAAGTAGAATCAAGAGTTATAATACCTGCACAAACCACGACTGCACACCACAAGCATTAGATCATTACAACTTCTATGAGTTGCGGGACTATGACGTCTTACGGCTTCCTCTTCGTTAGAATCACATCACGGAAGAGAGTGACATGATAAAGAAAACATGTCGAAGGAAAACGAAACCCCTTTTTCAAAGGAGAGTCAGCTCTCATCCGTAACCTTGTTAATGACGGCAAGAAATTCCTCCTTGGGTCCAGTTGTTCGAAGGACACGATAAACATCGCAGTTTTCGCATGAAACCTCTTATTATTATCGTTTCTGTCAACAAGCTGCCTACGGATAATTTCCTGCGCTCGTCCATTTTAGGAAAGAGACTTTATGAAGACGGCCACTCCCATGTACTCCACTCTTAGTTGCTCGCAGACTTTCAGCTGAATTCGAGCAAGCGTACGATTCGCACACACAATGCAATGAATGTAGATCAAAGTAAGATAACGCGTCCAAGGACAATATGTCTATTCCTCGCAGCATGAACAAAAATTCTACCTACGAAGACTCTTGTTTGCCTCGCGAAGAACATCCTCAATTTCTTAGTACTACCGTTCCTCTCCTATGTTGTTTGTATAGTTTCCCACAAAGTCAAACCTCCATATTTTTTAAAATATGATCCAATCCTACGTTACGGATCCCAGCATTTCTTGTACTCGACTCGCTTCCTCGCATCCGGCATCGATAGTGCTCCTCGAACATAATGCGCGTTGTTTCAGCTGCAGCTTGAGGATTTCATCTTTTTTATGGATGCCGTAGAATGCCGGTTGAGTCATTTCTCCTTGCAATCTTAGAGATAGCCTGCTAAGGAATCCAGCGTTGGGACGGGGATCGAAGTAACTTCTTGGCTTCCTGATCGACGGCACCATTAACTACTGCGCTATCCCTTCCCATAAATTTAAATTTTTCAATTTCTATCTTTAGAACACATGATCACAACCGGCCGATGTTTTTGCCACGCAGGTGGCTGTAGGACACTTAGAAACCTAATATATGTCGACATCTGCACAACAACAAAACCGCGTTCTAGGAATGATCTCTCCTATTGCCGAAACAACTGCGAAGAGTAGGTTGTAATCAGCATCGAGGCGATATTCTGAGGTCGACATTATGCTTCCTGTTCAAATCGCTTTTGTCCACCAAAGAATAGATTGTTCTTAACTGCACTCACTTACGCCTCTTGTCATCGATGTATTGAAGATATTCTGAAGTCCTCATACACATGCTGTATACTGTTACGATTGCAACCTTTTCATCATTCATACACTTATACATAAAGGTCTAGTTGCCCAATTAAGGTCCATTGTTGAGCCAAAAGTTCCCGTTGCATTACGTAAGAAGTCGAGAATATGAGCTAATGTTCTCCAATTAACTTCACTACACTGGCTGTTTCAACGAGCATTCTGTACTGAGCTAATTAGTGCACCACTATCTCGAAATCCTATGCTTTAAGGCAAGCAAAAGTTCACCTTTAGTGCGCGTTTAGTTCAAGTTTTCAGTCTTCCTGTAGGCATGCATTATTGTGACTAACCTTCCCATTGTTCCACAAATGTGGGAGGTTCTTGAAGAAAGTTTAAACCAGCATATTTAGACTCATCACAACGACACAGACGAACCCGGGATTACCTTCTTGGATTACTGGGCTGTCATGAGGTTGAGATAAAATATTCATTCAGCTAACGTTTCTAAGTTTTCTTCTTCTTTAGAGTCAGTAATTCACAGGTTGTCGTCCTCGCGATGTGGTAGTTCTTCTCGCATCGAGTTGAATCCGGAGAAGTGGAGCACCGATCGAATGAAGAATCTTACTCGACAGTGTCTTCTTCTACCGAACGGATATAGATCGATTGCCACCGTCCAATATGATCCAATTTTTTGATGACAATTCATCCTGCATTTGCAAACATTTTTATACCAACCTCTTATCAGCTCGGCAATCCTACAAGGCATTGACTATTACGCCGAGGTTAAACAAACAACTGAGAATTGCTTCACGCATGCAGACAGACACGTACACAAGCAGAAATAAACGCGAACTGTACACAATTAGCATCCATCGTCCACATGGAACTCACCAATTGTTCATGATATTTAAACATTTTTCTATGAAATAGGTCGTTCGCTTCTATTCGTTTCTCCTCTTCGATTCGCTTTAGTCGGTATTCGTTCATTATTTTTTCCAGCAACGTCTCCGGCTGCTTAAAAATTTTATGTGCTCAATTTTGTGGAGTAAACTGAGAAGAACACATAACTTACCTGTTTGCGAACATATAACCTGGATGAGCACAAGAAATGAAAAAAACGCACCAGATGAGAATGTCGGTCTTCGATCTCTTGAATACGCCTGGATTTCTCAATCAGTTGCTTCTCCTTGTCTTTCAAGTTTGCCGATAATGAGTTGCATTTTTCGGTTAGAGTTCGAATCGACTAAAAATCACCCATGTAGTCATGATCGAAGAAACGACTATGGTGACAGCACACCTCTTCCATAGCAGAAATCTGCTGATCGTGCTGCTTTTTCCTGTGCTCAGCGAGTTCCTTCTGATCTTTGGCTTGGTGTTCATTTCGAAGGTTCTCTAATGTCTAAAACCATTACTTTTTCACGTCCCTAAATCACTGTCATATGAGAATCTTGAAAATTCAGTATAAACGGAACAAAAAGGTCAAAATTTTCTCACTACCCAATTCTAGAAGAAGTGTTATCATAGCGACTACACATCCATGAGGTATATTCGTACTTTCCCCACTTTCTCTTTGGACTAGGTCCCGAAATTCTCAAAACGACAACTAAACAAAGTTAGCCTATGTAGATTTTTAAAGAACATATTCTAAGGGACGCATGTGTAGTCATTAGAACATGGATGAATTCAAGCCAACCAGACGATCCGTTACTGCCTGCAGTTCAACGATAGTCTGACTTAATTGTATCCTCTCGTTTTCACACTTCTCGAAATCGTTAATCTGAAAAATTTCAAGCCCTCTATTAGAAGGAATGCTTAGCGAGCTACAAGATAGTTGTTTCATTTGCTCATAAATTTATTGCGTTTAGCCTCTGAACATAACAATCATAAGCCGTACTCAGTTGGGAACGATACTAGGCACATAAGAGTGGACATGAATTCGAATGTTTGGCTGATCTTCAGAAACGTTCGCTTCGAAAGTCACAAGACTTCGTGCCTTTCATACGGCATAACTGGCTGTTCATTTCATTTCACTCCAATGGTATTGCCTTTAAGTTCGTCCGTAAATCACTCATTACTGTTTTTCAACTCAAGCATATCTATGCAAATTTTCCTGGGTTTGAAACAGTTGCATTGATGTTAAATACGAATGCATACTGAATGATATAATTGGTAGATCTCCGGTAATCTCTCGTTGGTGAGGTTCGTTAAAGCCTTGTATTCTAACGACCCAGAAGAATATGTAAGACATTTTGGCGTTCGACCTTGACAAATAAGTGTAATATTCGTCCTGGGAAATACTGAAAAAAACCCCTTACTACAGAATTTAGGAGAGAATATAAATTGCAATCCATGACTAGCTCTTCTCCAAAACCAACGATGAACATATGTTTTGTACAGCTGGCTGGAGCACTAATACGTCAACAGCGTTCGAAACGATTAACACTGTAAGGTTATAAAACCTACACAAAGAGGCAGAAAGTTTCAAGATGGACCACTAAGAGCATCACCGTGATTTCTGTTGAGGCTGCAAGTAATGTAGGACGTCGTTTTTGATACGCATATTGGAAAGAGAGTGCGTGTGACGCAGTGGTTGGAGGCGCCACTGTGACACACACGTAGAATCGATCCCCGCGCCCATGGCCCAACAAGCCTTCCATCCCTCCAGGGTCGGCAAATTGGTACCAGACCTGTTTATAGCAGCACTGGCTTGATACAACCGTAGGCCACCAAGAGTCATTGCAAAGGCCAAAAATGCATTCAGTCACCTCCAACGATACGTAATGAAGTCGAATGCATGGTGCATCCTTCAACGACTGATCAATGCCGAGAGCTTTTTACATCCTTTACATTAGAAAAAAAAGCTTCACTGATTTTTTCTTGAAATAGACGACGAAAAAGAGTTGATGCTATTAGAGTTCTCTCATTCAGAGCACTCCTGTCAACTTCGATTCTCCAGAAACTTTAATAACTCGACTACGACACGTTGACTCTCTGTGTTCAAACATGTAGTTAAGCTCAGGATATAGGCAGTCAATGTGAACCTAAGAATCAGTAGAAGAGATAACATCTTTCACAGTATTCTAGTTGATAATTTAATAATCAAAATCAAACCATGCAAAAATTGAATCAATAAATACCAAGGAAAGGATCAAGGAAAAATATGAATGCCTGATAGTGTTACACTTCGTCTGCAATGTGAACGGATTGAGCATGAGACATTCCGAGAAGCTGCTCTGCAACCTAATAAAAACATTTCTTTAGAATTTCACCGAACGTTGGAGGAACGTCGATCAAGGCGCTTAAAATCCCTTTAGAATCCATGGAGGTTTAACCTTCAGAAACGTCGTGCAAGAGCCAGTGAATATTGTGTATGGTCTCAGCATGATTCACCAAAATAAAGGATGCAACTACTCAAAAAGCAACACTACAAGGTAAGTGCCAGAGATGAAGATTTTTTCTATTCAAATTTACTCACTTGGATGCTTTGATGGCCTGTTTTTAAGAGTAGCACTTGTCCCAGCACACCTTCAAATCGTTTCTTTATCGTCATACACGGTGGTGGTCTGCTTCGAAGATGGTAACATTCTTAGAACACATTCCATGATTTGTTAATCGTTTTCATTTGTGAATCCGTATAGTTGACGTAAGCTACGGACACGTCCTCCAATCGTTTAGGTAGTTGTTCAGCAGGGTTTTCATTTACGCGGAGTCCACTACACAGCTTCTTTTGTCTATCTGTCCTCTGTTCTTTCCAATATATGATCGGCACATCTGTGTTTCGCTACTGATGTATATTCTCCTAAGCCTTAAAAATGGGATAAGTTCAAAAAAACTGAGATGCAAATGCCCACCTAACGTGAATTCCGATTCTTCCATGTAGATAGTAATTCGTGTTGCGCCAACTGATTCTACCATTAATAGACCAACAAATCGGAAACGATGGACAAATAGGATTACTATTCAACTGATCGCTATTGTTTGAAGTAAGTTGTGGAGGACTCCTGCAGCAGAGCAAAAGCTGGGTAGTGATGAGTCAGTTAAAAAAGGCACACCTATATCTCAGAGATATATCTCAAGCATGCTTAGGAAGCGATATGAACAGAGTTTAAACTTAGAAAATTCAAGTACCGAACTAGGCTATTCTTTTACAAAAAAATGAGCCAGCCGTAGTGAATAAAAAAAATCACTGCCAAGCCAAGAGTTCAAAGATGGAAAAAAAGTGAGTTCTACTCAATCTGACTATAGCATTTGGCTTGAAAAGTTTGCGTAGAAAGTGGGATGTACTTCATATTATTCACGTCAACGAAGAAGAAAATGCGGAACGATCCATGAAGGAACCGATTTGGAACAAAGAATCATCATGGGAAAAGGCACCAAACCTTGTCATTGCATAAGCTGGATGCTCCGGTTCTCAAGGGCCAACCTTCATGTCGGTACACAGATTAATTTTCCGTTATCTTCTCTGTAGAAGAAGAGAGGGAAAAATGTTTTCAATTATTAGATGGACACAGCAAGGATATAAAGTTCACGCCAGAAAAACCTAAAGAGAATATGCCTCCATTCTCAAAAGCTTCAAACAAGACTCCCGAAGGTGAACACATCATAGGGTGATATAAAATGCCAAACAATAAAAATGTAACACTGCGCTACTATTCTCTCATCCTTCACCCACGAAAAAAGCACTTGTCCGAAACATGCACCGTGTAGCTTCAAGCATATATGCAGGAAAATAAGAGAGAAATTAATAACTATAGATTTGAGATTGACAGAGAGATTTGACACAACAAAAAGCCATCTCAGCTCCGAAACAGTAGTGAGCGAGGTTATCTTTCAAAGGAGGGCCAGGCCGGAAAACAATACTATTCCAAGCTCAAATTCGAAGATTTCTTACACGCTAGCCTTCATATAGGAAGAAAAAACCACCGCTGTAAAGAAGTGCCTTAAAAAAGTGGTTTAGAGAGATCTGCGGCAGCTGTTGAGCTTCTTTGAAGTACTGAACGTTGTGAATTTGTTCGCAACAACCCCTAAACAACTATAAAACAAAATATTGCATGATTTACCCTAACGGCATAGATGAAAATTGTGTGCGTTCAGGTACATTGAGGACCAGTTTGTGTCAGGATAAAGCAATTCGTAGATTGAAATTTTAAAACCGGATGAAGTACACCTCTAGGTACACATATACTACGAAAAGAACGATGACGATTTCAACATTCTCGCGAGGTTGCTTAATTTCATTTTTTTTTCAGACGGTTATTTTTTCGCTGCGCTAACTGTGACACTTATAGATGGTTACACCGGCCACTTTAGTGGGTTTTAGGAAGCCTCGCCACTTCTGTTGTGGTTTCCGTTCTAATCGGTGGCTCTTCTATGCGTTTTGAAAAACTGCAAAAGCCTCTTGCGATAAAATCAGAAGTTAATAGAAAATTATTAAAAATAAATTCTCTCAATCTGCGTTGGGTAAGCTATTGAATGATTACAAGAATAATGGAAAGGAACTTTTGTGCACCAAAAGAAACCAGAAAAAAATGACGCCTACAGGTGTCGTACAGGCCATTCCCGTATCTTCAGTATGACACCTCTACGTGTCGCTTTTCGCGAGGGTTTTAAAATGGAGGTTATGGTCTACTCATTTCGTCGCTCTTAAACGGCACCAATCACGTACATATTGTTTAAAAAGAAATAAGGAATCTATTTATACCAAGCAACATTGTCGCTTGAGCTTCCCAAAAACCGTCAAACCAATGCCTTTTTCTTTTCAACCTGAGCAGAAGAAGATTTTATCCAATCCATTACCGGAAAGGATTTAGCACACCAATTCAAAAACGCCGGTGCTACCTATGTGTAGCGAGCAACTGCTGTGCTCGTATTTCTCTATTGAATGGAAGGCATTATTTGTAAAGCGTTCTACTGTTATGCCGGTGTTGATGGAAAGAGTAGATATACAACGACGGATAGCTCACCAGTGATTCGTTTCTTTGCTGAAGCTGCTGGATACATTCACGCAACTCATGCTCATTCTGCTGATATTGATCGTTGAAACGCTCCAAGTCGTGAATACGAGCCTAGGTCAAGATTGTTTATTCATATTCACTTTTTGACGATAGCCTATGTAGATTACTGACTTTGAGAAGCGCCATATTGCTCTCCGCTGCCTCAAGATCTCGAGCTTTCTCTGCTTCGAATGTTCGAAGCAATCGAGAAAGTTCATCGCCCCGAGGGCTTACGAGAGAGAGTGAGCCGCCATGAAATGACAATGATCGCGGCACATTCCTTAACGAACTTCGACTCGCTTTATATGAGCTGAACCTGGTTCTATAGGTACTGAATATCAGCATTAAACATTGAAAATGCATACTTTCGATCACTGCTGCAGCTCCCAGCAGTACCAGCAGGCAATGGTGATGCGGATTTTCGGAGAGCGGCTTGGTTTAAGATATCAAGCATCGCGTTCGTGCTTTCGAATGGTACATAAATCTGCAGTACGATGAAAAGCTGCAGTCTATCCGTTAAGGACCTCTATCGTCTCTTAGGAACAACAAGAAAAATTTCTTTTAAAATATTAGGAAAGAATTCAAACAATGGCCATACGCGAAAAGGCGCTGCATAAAATGAGTACTGATCTAATCCCAATGAAGACCAATACGCATCTTCCATGGTTTGTAGATACACAAAAATAACGAAAGTAAAAGGAAGTAACGAAAGAGATATTTGGAAACTCCTAGAAGCTTAGTATGAATCGTCCTCAATCAATGCAAAATTCATAGAAAAGCTTCATTTTGTTTAAAAAAAAAAGATAAAGCTCTTGGCGCTGATCAATCCCTGAAGGATGTGCCACACATTCGACTTTATTAAACATTTTTGGAGGTGAATAAATGCATATCTGGCCTTTACAATAATTCGTAGTGGCCTGCGGTGAATCGAGCCAGAGCTGCTATCCTCCCAGACAAGCTTGGTACCAATTTACCGATCCCGGAGGTATGGAAGGCTTGGTAAGCCTCGGATGCTGGGACCGATCCCATGTGTATTACAGGTCGTCTTCGACCACTGCGCCACACGCACTCATTTTAATTTGGTGCCAAAACTATTTAGGACTTCACCCAAAAATTTTTTTGCATTCAAATTTTCCGGAATACTCTTTTTCGTTCTACTGAAAGGCTCTACAAGATATTGACTATATCGTTAAGAAATTCGGTTTATGCTAAAGTGATTAAGAGTATTCAAATCTACTTCAACGTCTCTTAATCTCAATTCTGTTTTCTCAGGTGGAAAACATAGGGATAAATGTAAAACAAGGCCACAAACCCCTTCTTTATTTTTTGCTTGTGATTGAAGTGCAGCAAGAACAACTTCTTCGGAATAGCCCATGTCTTTCGCAAGTTTTAGTTGACTCTGAAATTCGACACAGTAGTCCATGTATTCGCTTTAAGTCCTCATAGGACTTATTTTTTATTGGGCAAGTGTTAAGAGTAAGAACTGAATAGTTAATGTCTGCGCGACTAAACTTTCCAAAGATTACCCGATCGGAGCACCCTTCCTCTCCACCACTGACAACACTGATTTTCCCCACAATTCGTCTCGAATATCTTATTAGCATTCTTACTTGCTTTCATTTTTCTTAATATTACTGTTTTTACGCCGATTTTTGCCTTTCATTTCAATATTCAGTCTTCCATATAATAGACGAATCTACGTGAACAAAGGTTAGATGAAATCGCAAAAGTCCACTGCACTAACCAACTACAGTATCACATATAATCTAAAATTACAATTACACCACAAACACAAAATTAGGAGGTTATTAGTGTAGACAAAATCATATTTGCACTTCAACAATTGTCTCAAGCTACACGGTGAATCGAGAATTTGTTTCCTCTAGAATTGATTTTGGCACAAAAAAGGATAAAGCTCTCAGCGTTGATCAATCGCTGAAGGATGCGCCATGCATTTAACTTCATTAAGCATCGCTTGGAGGTGATTAAATGCATATTTGGCCTTCACAATGACTAGTGGTGGTCTCTGATGTATCGAGCCAGTTCTACTATCCTCTCAGACAAGTATGGAACCAATTTGTCGATCCCGCGGGAAAGAAAAATTTGGTGGGCCATGGGCTCGGTGATTGATTCCACGTGTGTTGCAGGGCGCCTCCGCCCACTGCGTCACACGCACCCGATTTCGGTGTAATCCCATGAAATTTTAACAGCGATATAAAAGTACTAAATCAGTACAAATTTTTAAATTAAGTTTTCATCGGGTAATGAAGAAAAAATGAAATCTTTCCGTGTAAGTGACTAACGTGAAGTGATTGCGGTGCCAGCTCAACCATGTCGGCGCTCCAGTGCAACGATGAGGATGAGTGTGCTGGAAACAAGAAGTTCGACTCGCAACTCATCGTACAACGAAAATAACTGCAAATTGATTTGTATGAAACGGCGATAGGTGGTCGTTCGAGTGGTGTAGACTATGCAGACGGCAATGACATAGACAATCGGATTCCTATCCGGTTCACTCAACCTGACTCGAACAATCAGTCACTTTGTCCTCTATGCGACTACGAGTGAAGAGTTGCGATTTATTCAGATAAGTAAAACGTGTATTATTTCTCGTTGTGAGATCAGGAAAGGTTCCAGCAATGACCTGATAAGTATAGATTGTCAACTGGACAGCAAGTTTGGACCAGTTCTTGCGTGACATCGTAAGTAAACATATGTATTTATTCACATAAGACATCTCAATTGTGTTTCCACTTCAAAAATACACTTCAGCTAGTTCCTAATTAGCAAAGCAAATGATTAGTAGAAATGTATGTAAAGTATTCCGGCCAGTCTATCTGGCACTAATCTGACAAATACTTTATAAGTTTCAATCTCCGAACTTTTTCATATAGTCAAGTTGAGCTCAGATTATGTTACTACACAGGAACAGGTTCTATTCATTAAACACTTTTTTCTTGACCTGCATTTAGCTCAGAGCACCAAGTTTGTCGTTGGTGGTTAAGAACTTCTTCTGCAGATGTCCACTTTTTTTCTATTAGACATAAAAGCTCCCTATTTCGAAGAAGGTGGGATCGATTTATGAAGTTCTTCAAAAAGAAAAACGTCTAATAGCTATGTAGTACAATTCCATGGCACTGTGTTTTCAACAATATCAAGAAATCCGCTCATCTACAACGATTTCAGAAAGAAGGTGATAAGACCAGAAATTGGATTCAGTTGGCTTTTTCTGAGTAACTGCAGTTCATAACTGACAGCTAAATAGCGCTACTTATAGCGTATAATAATAGGCGTAAAATAGCGTAAAATAAATGATATGGCGCTAATAGTGCAACATTATTTATTTATAGCGCTAAATAATAACAGGAAGAAGTTCCCCATTCACGGAAGCGTACGCATATAGGTGGAGTTTTGGAATTTCAAACAGGATTACATACGAAAATCCGCTGTTGTATACGGAACGAGAACTGGTGGGAAAAACAGGGTGAACTTTGAATGCACTTTCTGTCAGAACGCCACAATTTGTTAAAGTTTGAATAAATTACCCCCATTTTAAATTTTCCCTGAATTCTTGTTGTAAAGGAAGGAAAGCTGAGAAAAACGCAAATTTTAAGGATCACGCAGAGAGGTATTTTTCGACGTGCGCTAGTGCGACCAAGAAGACCCACGTCGTTCAAATGAACTGCTGTGGACAGTTGACTCTAATCAACCCGGCTTTGAAGAAGATTAGCGCCAAACGCCATTATTCACTCAATGATGCATATACTCAAAGAACGACATTTTTTTTAACAAAAATAGACCTTCGGCATCCGCGAGCAATTATTCGGGCATACAATCTCATTAATATTTTTCAGTTCTAAACTTACAGAAAGGCCCACCGTTTCCCATTGGTACATAGGATGGGAAATCCAGATCTCGACTAATTTTGTGCAGTACGCGCTGTGTGCTGAAATCGAAACGTACCTCTCGTCATTTATCAGTCGTGTATACCCTGCTGATTAGAAGCAAATTTTGTGCTGCTATATCAGTGCTAAAAGAATCAGTAACTACGAAACCCACCGATAGAAGAAGACCTTACGTGGTAGCCACATCATCCATGATGCTCTTACTGTCTCTGTACACATCTCACTAGCGATGTTTCTGTGGCTTGACTACCAGAATCGTACAAAAAAGAAATTTTAGGTACTATTAGGTGATGCCTCCCAAGGGTTTACCGCCTCATCGTGGCTAGGAGGGGTTCCTGGGTGTTGGGCTGCGATGTACAGAGGAGGAAATCATCTCCCATGCAAAGTATCCCAAGCTGAAAAAGAGGCCAGCACTTCGATCAGCAGGTCTAACAAACAGTTAACCAGTACCAGGATCCACCACCACCCTGATATCAAGCTGGTCGCATAGTTGCAAATCCCACTCTGATTTACGAGAGCAGTGATTGCCTGTGGCGATGACGACCTGAGGCAGACTTTGCCTGAGCTGATCTCCTCGGCACTCCAAGAAAACACAATAGCTAAACCAGCAAAATTCCGAAAAATGGAGATTATACTGGGGTCCGCACAACCAGTGAAGACGGGCCATCCAAGTACCCAAGTAGTGTTAGGGAATGAGAGTAGCTTACATGGTCGAACATTTAATTCTATGATTTGTATCAGATAGGCATAAATACAACACGTCTGCTGAAAATAAGAGCACAGGAAAGAAACAAAATCAACAGCCAATAAGAATGAATGTATAACAATTCACGTAGGGTGGTTTTAGTTTAGAGCATGAGAGAATTCTCTTCGAGTTCAAAATGCCCTCTATGACGAAGATAAAAAAGTGCTCCAATACAAGAACTTTTAGTATCAAAAAAAAACCATAAGGATTCAACCAGATATAAACCATTTTCATGAGTGATGGATCTGACCCTGTGGTTGAGTGGAAATTGTAAGCAGAAAACATTTTTGGTCGATGAGCACGCACAAAGACGATAATAAGGGCATTTCCCATCAACATTCCTAAATGGTGCCAAGTGCTAAGTTTTAACTAGAGGTTCCTCTCAGAATCTTTATTAAGCCACTCTTCAAAATTTGCTTGCTTGAAAAGTTTCAAAATATTCAAAAGCGAAACCAACTTACAGCGTTTTAGTGGCTGCGCCTCAACCAGCTCTTCCTGACTGTTCATCGACGATATCGAACTTTTGATGGAGAGCCGCTTTTTCGCCTATGAATTAATTTACAAGCGATTTTCATTTTGAAAGTAATTTCTATTTATTTAAAGGCCTTACGTCGGTTTTCTTCTGGAATCGAGACGAATAGTGATTAGTCGGTTTTGAGATAGTGCTTGCAATTGTGCAGGGGGAAGGAGCTGCCACATCGGCGGTAGGTGGTCCCTCAGAAAAAAATTATTAAATACTGAAAAACAGTTAAGAGTTAGTGATTCGAGTAAAGATTTTCTAAATCTACCAGCAAGATGGTGTCATAACAAGGTCAACAAATAAAGTAGAACGCTAAATCTACCGGCACTCAGTAATGAAGACTTCTTGGTATTTTTTTCAGCGATCGAAAAATTCGTAAAATTCAGGGTGTTGACGGATTTCGTTCGTCTCTTTTGTCGTACTAAGGCCTAAAAAACTTTTTATTAGAGATACTCTATTTACTTCTTCTTAACGATTTTGCAGAGCAAGTTATACTTAATACAGATTTTTTCGAAACCGAAGTCCACCATGCGCTACTGGAAAATTTTCATAAATTCTAACTTTCTAAATAGTGAGAGGCGTAGTCTAAGCCAAAAAAGTTTCAATCGTTGAAAATCGAATCACCAGTAGTACTTCTACCGGCTGTTCAATTTAGAGCAGCCCGTCTCGTGACTTAGAAAAGGTGAAGGACAAATGAAGCGCACCATCTTGGAGCACCACAGTTTCCTATGGGAAACCACAATACAAGCACTAATAATGCAGTTACGATCTTCAGTTTCGCACAATAAGACAATTTTTAAGAGCGAATTAGGTCACGAGAAAAAGTTGTGGGCATGAAGCCGCCGATAAAGATTGCTTGGACTAAAACGCTACTTGTTGAAAATCACTATTAATATCCCTTGCGTTTCCTATGTTTCCAAAAAAACCTTAATAGAAAAAAAACAGTTCGTGTTTTCGCAATGAGAAAACAACTGCCATCTATAAGGAGAGCGAAATGTGATTCACTAAGGATGACTAAGGTCTAACATGGTGCTAATAAGCTCAGCAGGCGAAAATGCTAAAACGCGGTCAAACTGATGTTTAAATTAGGAGAAATAACTAAAAGATTGATGACATGGAATCACCATCATCAAAAATAACAGCAGTGCTAAACAAACGCAGGCCAACTTGCGACACCAAGAGAGGAAAAAGAGGATCAGTAGGATCCAAGAAGAACCTCGTTGGATCCAAAACGTTTACAGGCATTACCACTG